CACAGAGTGTAAAACACTCTAAAGATGTTAGAATTAAGACTCGTAGATAAGTTAGCAGTAAGAAATTTGTAAAAATTTGTCTGAAGTAAATAATGTCCAAGGCAGTTGAATCAGTCTTAGTCGGAAAGCACGGGAAATCACTTCGCCCACTGCCTCATCGCCTTTGATAATGTCCACCGCAGTTGTGGACGAAACGTCAGGAATAAATTCCCATAGACCACGGCTTCAAAGCCCGGAAAACATTCCTAAATGTGATTTAACCGGCCGTGAAAGCCTTCATAGTCTGATAAGGCTGTTTTATTTGAGAACGTGTGCTAAAGTTGGGCTTTTTCAGACGTTTACGGTGCGACGCGAAATCTATGGACGTAGAGATGGAAAAAGCGTCTACTTCACCGTAGCCTTTGCTGGAATGGCCTTGATGGCGGCAATTGTGGTGGGAGTTGCTGTAGCAAAGCGCAGATCTGCACGATCCCCTCAAAGTCAAGGTAATTGAGAGCCTTGTTATTATTATTCTTTCCTGGCTAAGTTTGTAGGGTTCTCAGTGGGTGGGTCTTAAAAAAGTTTTTGGAAAGTCTTCATTGGATTCCTCTTGAGGAATTATCCAGATTTACAAAACAGTTTTTCTCAAAAAACTCACACGATGGACTAGTTTCCTGTCTGCTGATAAAACAGAAGTACCGATTTTGTTTAGACGATGATATACAGAGTGATTCACCTGTATAGACCTCAAAAGAAATCGAGTTTCCATTTAAGTTTTTTTCTCAGGCCCGTAGTTAACAAGATACAGGGTGTTAACGTTTCAAAAAAATGTTGGTATTTCCTCTTTAACTTCTACAATTTATGAGATAATTTGCTCCAATTTTTAACGTAGGCTAACGTTTAGACTCTTCACCCGTAGGTAGGTAAGGCGACGGGTTTTGAAAATCTGCAGGGTGTTTTTTCTAGAGGCATACCCTTTTTTTAAGAATTTTCTTATCTCTTGCAGTTTTTTCGTATCTGTCTTTGTTTTCGAGTTATTTGCACATATATAAGTCAATGTGGAGCTTCTGGGTGATTTTGTATGATTTTTTTATAAACTTTTTTGTGTCTTTTTGTTCACACTTTTCTGTGAAAGCTTCAAGTGCAAGTTGAAGTTAAAATAAGGATGGCTGACGAGTTAACTTTAAAATTTATTTTTTCTTTACTTTAATTTAACTTACAATCATTGAGGTTTATCGGCTTTAAGCTAATCCAAATAAAAATACACAAAAATGTAATGAATGTACAATTTATCATGAAATTAATTTCTTTGACAAAAAAATGTTAACAAAAAGATGCAAAAAAATCACCCAGGAACCCTACATGGACTTATATTTGTGCAAATAACTCGAAAATGAAGACAGATACGAAAAAAAGGCAAGAGACCAGACAATTCTGAAATTGAACAACAAATGCAAAAATTTGTTTGGTCAATATCAGTGGCGCACCACAAAAAAGTTCGGTGGGGGTAAAGGGGGTATGCTTCTATAAAAATAAACATCCTATAGATTTTCACAACTAGTTGCCTTACCGACGGGTAAAGGGTCTAACCATTAGCCTACGTTAAAAATTTCACCAAAATATGTCATAAACTGTAGGAGTTAAAGAGAAAATACCAACATTTTTTTGAAACTTTAACACCCTGTATCTCGTTAACCACGCTATAGTTTATTGCAAAGCAAATAAGATTCGGCAATTTTGCATCTCGTTTTCAGCTGAAGCAACTAAAAAGGCAACTTTGGTTTAAGCTGAAGTGTTTCCCAATCATGCTTCGTTTTTCAGACAACAAAAAGTGATTTAATGATGTCGAATACTCTCAATTGAAGAAAAATTTGGCTTTTCAGTTGCTTTACCTGAAAACCTCGAAAGTTGCAAGAAATCTTTGCAAAAAACCCGTTGTTTTTTTGCGAAAAACTACGTTCCCACTGAAAAGACTGTTTCAGCGTACATATTGATTTGGATCAAGTACTTGAAAAATTTCCTGCATTAGGAAAATGTTTTTTCTACAACAAAAGTCCTACAGGCATATAAATTGCAAACATCCAATAGATCTAGTTTCTGCATAAAAATAGATTAGTGCTTCAACTCTTGCACACGCACTATTGATTATTATGCCGCAAAGAACTATGAAATATATGCATGCTCACTGATGGCTTTTAGTGAATTCTAACGCGTTTCTCAGGGTTTGTTGAAGTAGATCAGGCGGCCACGCCCGAAGAGCGGCATGTAGCCAACATGCAGATCAACGGCTACGAGAACCCCACCTACAAGTACTTCGAGGTGAAGGAGTAAGAATGGCCGATGAGAGTGTACAAAATCAGAAATTTCCGTTTTTTTACATTAAATAACCTCCTTCTGTTCATTTGTACATTACGCAAACAATTTTGATTTTATTCGAAGCAATATTTTTGATCGATCTGTAGTTTGTATATTGAGTTAAGTTTTTTCTTTAATTGATATTAGTGGATTGGGGAAGTTGCCCGACACTCGAATACATGCCCATTCACTCAATACCCGCGGTGGTATATTTGAATCATTCCAATATTTTCCTCGTTTATATTTAGTAATATTTGTACTTAATACTCTTAACGCAACTTGATAATAATAATTCTACATATGCAAAAATTAAATATATTAAATAATATTTTGAAGTAAAGGAAACTTTAAATAGTCATGTTTTTTGCATATGACTGTCCACATTTTTAACATAATGTAACCTTTAGCGGGGGTATGCGACTGTATTCTACAGTACGTTTCCTTCGAGTGCATGAAGTGCTGATATTAAGCTAATTTGCTACAAGATTTTTTTGATGTGTTTCACACTATAAGAGTTTTCATTTCAATACAACTGCATACCCCTTTAGATGTATTGTAATTATACACTACGCGCCGTATAGGAGTAATTAATATCGATATAGCAATCCAAAATAAAATGTGTATTATTACAATATCAAATTAGCCGCTAGACTCATATGGTACCCTCCATATTATACCTAATAATAAAAAAATTAGCCGTAACTGCATGTTACTTGACAGCTTTTGTACAAAGTCTTATTTTTGTTACGAGTTTGACCGAGTTATTCTCAATTTATCCTTTAAACGAGACGAGTTCAGCTGTTTAAACGCAAAAATATACTAAACACTATAGAGTTAGGTCACTGGCTAGAGCGCAACTATATTCGAATATATTGCATTTGATCTGAAGTGTTCTTCTAAGTTAGCTCTTGATTACATAAAGCTAAACAATATAGCAAACGCAATGAGTTTTCGAGATTAGCACCGAACTGTTTTAACGCGATCAACCCTTTGGCAGCTTTCTATGTACCAAATATCCGAGCTAAACTAAAGCGAAAGTTCTCAGATTTAAAATGTCCCGACTTAAGTTGGCTTATTGCAAACCGGAAAATACACGGTGTTCTATCTTTGATATAACAATATGCGAGGACGTTGAATGTTTTGTGAGTGCGCGAGTTATTTTTGGTTAAATTTAAAATGCCGGTTGCAAACGAATGTTGTTACATTTGAGATAGCACTAAATGGTATTCGGACCTTTTGTATTTTGATTTTATACTTTGTAAATACAGACGGTAGAAGCGAAAGATTTTTTTGCCGGTGTTAGAGTTTGTCCTCTGGCTACTCCATCAAAACTGTGAAGTAAAGCATCATGTAAATTACGAATTATCATTTCCGTAGCAAATTCATATCATGTGTCTCGAGAAGTCAATCAGTATTTTTTAACGTTTTGTGCTTTAAAATTTAACTAATATAAATGTAGCTAAATGTGTACAGAAAGGAAATCATAAATTTCCACTTCTCTAAGATATTAAAAAAACCCTTAGGCTTTAAAGATGCAAGGCGTAACCTTTAATAAAAAGTGTGTTTATGTGCTGAAAAATCCTATTTCGTACTAAAACGTCTTTATTGACCTTATCCTCAATTCTGTGAAATAAATTTTTGTTAGATTAGTTTAGTAGTTAACATTAATGTTTTGTGGCCATGTAATTTTAAATTTAATGTAATGAATAAATCAATAAACATTTTTTGGTTTTTTATTCACATCCATGCTATTCGTATATTGCTGATACGGAAAGCCAATAATCATTCATGTTTATTGGTTTTCTGGATCCAGTATCTGTGAGGAATGAAACTTGAGCTTCATTCCTCACTTAGAATTAATTGTGATATTTGGTAAATGTCTGCTAAACACTGGAAAACAATTCAACAAATGTACAAAATCACAGTCTACCCAAACACTCTGTGAATCACTCGGGTAGTGCCAAAAGGAAAATCTTGCATATATCATGAACAAATTGCTGCAATTTTAATAAATAATCTAGTAATAAATAAATGCACTAATCTTTACACACTTAATCTCTATAGTTCTGAGTGAGAATCTCCGTCATTTTTCTCTGTGGTTGATGGTTCAATTTGCTCCTTTGTGCTGTTATTCCCGTCTTCAGGTGCTTCTACCGTATCCTCAATTTGTTCATCCTCTTCCACTTTCTCTGGTAAAGTACTGTTCGCCTCCTCTGCTGTGGCGTTGGTCACGGTGTCACGCTTCTTATCCACTTTTTTCGGTCTAAAGTTCCTCAGTTTATTAACAAGGAATTTAACTTCGCGATCTAAAGCTGCCATTTTATCCATTAAGCTTTTCACTGTCAGCTTAGGCGGTTTGGACGATTCTAACTCCGTCTGCTCTCGAACCAACTTTTCCTTCCACTCCTCAGTGCTGTTTATTAGTTTGTCCAAAGCCTCAATTTCCGATTCTTTGAAAACAAAATTGTCCGGATTTACAGCCTCGGTGAAGTTCTTCGCAGTTTTCAAAAACACGCTGGAATGATTAAGCATCGAGTTCATCGCTTTGAGTGCTTCGGGCCTCTCTCTATGCTCCCACACTCGAGCAAACAGGTCTCGGGTCAAGGCTTGGACTTCGTCCAGTTTCTTTTCATAAGTGTCTGCGTCTGCTTCTGATCCATCTTCGTATAACCAATCCGAAACTTCACTGCAGGCCTTCAGAATTGCCTCCACTTCTTCCTCAGTTGAAGCGCTAATATATTCGTCTTCATATAGTTTGTTTTGCACATCAATTACAAAACTTTCCAAGTTATTCAATGCTGACGCCCTTCGATTTACATCCTTTTCAATTTTGTCCAGCTTCTTGATTTTTTCCAACGATTTCTCAAACTGTTGCTCATTTAATCCGTTGATTGATAAAATGCTCTCGCTGCTTTTAATCGGCTCTTTATGAGTGACGATTTTCGATTTAACTTCTTTTGTCTCTGTCGCATTCTTCCCTTCTGTGCCGCTGGTGGCTTTGTCTTCTTTGGATTTATTCTCTGCGGGTTTAGCGTCTTCTGGCCGATCATCGTCATGGATTTCGTGGACTGGTTTATCTTCAGCTTGGGGAGTTTCCGTAGGATGTTCCGTCTCTTGACCTCCGAATAATTTACCCAAGGTACTCCCTAAAAAAATAAGTTGGAATTCTCAAGAAAAATCTGCTTCTATTTTGGCTTATCTGATGAAATTATGGACTTTTTTATTAATTGAAATATGAATGAATATGAATTATGAAATTAAGGAAACTTACCGATCTTCGATAAAGTGCCTTCCTCTTCAGACGCATCTACAGTTTTCTCAACCACAAGCTCCACATTGACCAAATTCAGGATTCCTGATTCGTCAAGGTTAAAATGAGCTTTGATTCCTTTGCTTTCCGCATTTTCTCCCAGGTTTTTCTGCAAAGCGTCAGCAACACCAGTTAGATGGAATTCGCTGAGATCCTTGCCGCCAATGTTCAGAATTTCGCCGGCAGGCAAATAATCCAAATCAGCGTAGTTGGCCGTAAAGCTAAAGTCGTCGGTGTGCTTGTTGAACGTGATTATTTTCTTCTGAGGGTAGGGGTTCATTAGGCCGAACAGCGTACGTTTAACTGTCTTTATGCCTAGAAAAATACACACAAAATTTACGTCTAAAGGTGTAAATCACACTTCACTATGACTACCTTCTTTGGTTTCCCTTTGGAAAACGATCTGTATGGGGAATAAAACGGCATCTTTAGTGAGGAACTTCGTCACTTTAAAACCAGTGCTTAAGTCTGCGGCTTTGTAGACTGCGCCCATAACAGCCGCTTCATCAGTGTTGAGATTCTTTGCCAAATCTTGTCGGAGCTCTTTCTGGAGAATTTCCTGAATCTTTGGAACTCTGGTTCCTAATGAAAATCAATTAATCAAGAAACCACAGAAATAATCTTAAGTGCGACTTAGACGCAAGTTGCTCGGAATATCAGTAGTAATTTTGCGTTAAGATTAAGGGCTTTAATGCACTGAAAAAACTCTTACCTGCTCCAACTAGGACAACCTGATTGACAATATCAATGGATAATTGAGACGTCTTCAAAGCCTGTTTAACCGGGTAAGTAACACGTTCTAACAAGTCTGGAATAAGACTCTCCAGTTCATCTCTCGTGACTAGAATTTTAAAGTCCTGCTCGTCCAATAAGCCCTCAATCTGAGCATAGTGCTCGAAATTCGCAGACAAAACGTTCTTCAATCGTCCCGCCTCCTTGAAGAGTTTGGCTAAAGCCCGGGGATTCTCGAAAACGTTGTTGGACGTTTTTTTCATGTCGTTGAACTTTTCTGCCAAATAATCTCTTAACCTCAGTTGAATTTCCAGGCCTCCAAGGGTGCGGTCGTAGCCCACTCCTAATATTTGCACCTGCAATTTGAAAGAAAAATCTCAAATACACTACCAAAAATTAGCTGGGGGTTTACTGACCTGAGGGTGAGTCTCTACAAATCCCCGTTCTTTGGTTTTAACGTTCTGATAACTGACGAGTGTAGCAGTGGTCGAAGATGCTCCCATGTCGTAAAACATCACGTACTGAGCAGTTTCGTTGAAGGTTTTAGTCCTAAATATGCCTGAAATCAAAAAAGTGATGGGTTTCGTACTCTGTCTGGTAAAACTTTACAAAAATGCCATAAAACTTCATAATTGTTGTGGCCAACACAAAAAAAAATGTTGTTTGGCAATTTTTGAATGAAGGCGGTGACCATTAAGCAAAATCAAAGATTTTTGATTCCCTAAAATGGTCATTTAAGGGCGAATGCGCTCTTAATTAAGATCGAAAAACTTGAAACATGCCGAACTGTAATTTTGCCTCTTGGTCTGGTAAAAAGTTTAGTGTTTCAGAACAGCAACTGAATTTCACTCAAAAGACCAAATTTACAATATAATCAAATAAAAAATACAATTAAATTGTAGAAGCAATCGTTTCGAACTGTTTTGCTGTTAATTCATAAATAATCCTAAAGGATTACAGCGGTCGTTCGGTCAGTATATGTACTTTCAAATTGAAATACACATCTCAAAAATGGAGTAAATAATGTACCATATTGTTGGCCTTCAATAAGAGAAGCGCATGCAAAACACATCTAATTAAGCAGCAAACATTCGAAATAAGTTGTACATACTTTCCTGACTGTGTTTCAATTCCAAATCAAAATCAATTCCTGGGCTTCAGTCATTTATTGTCTATTTATCAATTAAAATACGTTTCGATGTTTTCCACCACCATCAGTTTCTATGTGTAGCGTTGTTGCTATAAATATATGCCAAGGCTTAAAGTAGCAAAAATATATGCCAAGGCTTAAAGTAGCAACAACGCTACACATAGAAACTGATGATGGTGAAAAAYACCGAAACGTATTTTAATTGATAAATAGACAATAAATGACTGAAGCCCAGGAATTGATTTTGATTTGGAATTCGAAATAAGGATAACTTACCATAGTTTAAGGCCACTGCAGTGTAATCATTTATCAGCTGCAAAACTTTAAGACCAGCCAGTTCCGCGGCTTCCAAAAGAGCATTGCGCTCAACTTGATTGAAGAATCCTGGTACAGTTAAAACACACTCCTTTATAGGCTGTTGGGCCCCACTTTCCGCAAACTCCCTAGCCTTGGTCAAAAATTGCGCTATTAGTTCCTCTGGACTAAAGAACGTATCATCGTCCTGTTTGAACAGTATGGTGCCCCGATCAACATCAGGCACGATTTCGTAGTAAGGAAATCGCTCCTGATAAAGCTTCACTAGGGGATGATCTATGCTTTTTCCTAGTAGGTCTAAAAGATAGCTGTAGGCTTGCTTGGGAAATCGCAGCCCGACCGTTTGGGCATCTTCGCCAAACAGCCTCACGTTATCCCTGAAGCTGATGACTGCCGGGGTTTTCCGTTTGGACTCTTTGTTCAGGGCGATTTCCATTGGGACTCCCGGGGAAACGATGCCTACTTTCATCCACTCTGAACCGAAGTCCACAGACATTACAGCCAGACTGGCTACTTGTTGAATGCCCACACATGCCAGCACGACGCTTAGCAGTGCTATTGATAGTTTCATGGTGCCCTGAAACGACGACAAGTGCTATTAGTTGATCAAAACGACGACAGTATGGGGCCGACAAGCTCCAACCTCAAATCCTGATAATTTACCACATATGCTGTTTTTAAAAGAGTGTCAAAGGCAACACTTACCAAGCTAGTCTTCTCCTAGTCTCTAAGATGTTGATAGTGAGGGTTTTAATTCAAGACTTTCGCGGTGAGGATTTATTCCTTTATAAACCACGTCAGAGAACCAACATGTCAAAAAAAACAGCTGAGACTTCTTTCTAGAAACAACGCCACTGAATCTGTCAGTTGTGGCACGCTCTTATTGGTCAATGCAGAATTTATAAAGTTAGTTATCGGAAATTTGGCAACTATGAAAAAATGGCGAAGAAATGTTGTCCTTTTGTATATATTGCAAGTTTATTGACTTCTGTTTTCATTCATTAATGAATGTTAACATGTTAAATTCATGTTAATTTGGTTTTAGTGCATTTGCTGCATTGCAAAAATTGTGGAATTTACTCAATTTTTATGTTTCCAAGAGAATGACAATCAAATTACTATATTTTTTTCATTTAGCTTAAATTCGTTTTAACTAGAGGATGCGAAAGCAACCCTAAAGTGTATAAATAGATATATTTTTAGTTTCCTGTGGTTGATGTTTTTTTCTGAGATAACGCCAACTTCGGATTCATGTTGTCACTGTGTTCAAAATGGCGAACGTTAACTACATGGTGGCTTGTCAGTGCGGTTTTTTTTTTAGCAAATTTGCCTAAAATTAATAAGAAACTTTGAGTTTCGCGTGCTTCTTACCTTTATTTATGACGGTGGTAAGACTTTTCAGTGATCGGTTTACGTATAAATGAAATTTGGCCAATTTGCAAGTGCAAAGTGTTAGACACGAACGCGACTGAATGAAACGCGAGGTAAGCAAATCCTTTAATCTCATTTATTCTGTGCCTACACCATATTATCCATAGAAAATACATTTGAGCAGGGCGTTTGGCAGTTTTTCATCTTATTTTCATTGTAATTTTTAACACTGAAATGTTTAAAAAACTGTTCGGTGATAACAGTGGTTCTTCAAAATTCGGGTAGAGGCCCAAAGTGGTTCCATACGAATTTTTTTAATTACCGTACGTTTCGTTTGTATGAACAGTCAGTCGGGACAGACTACGAGAAACTTGGCGATTTATTGTTAAAAACATTTAGAAATAATGGATGATGTAAGATCATTAAAAATATGAGCTGCGTGCAATTAAAGCAACCATGTAAGTTTAAAACATCTCTATAAAACATTTTATAATCGTTTTCCTGAGAAATACTGCCAGAATTAAGTCCAACGCCCAACGTTCAACAAACATTGAATACATAATATCGAGCGATAACTTGAAATAAAGTAAAATATATTCGAAATATAAAATTTTAATTTCTTGTACATATATTTAACGAATATTTATTAATCTAAAAAATGAAGAAATGTTACTAAATTAAATAACGGTGCTCCAATAAATGTTCAACAAAATAGAAGAGAAACTTAAAATTAGCCTGGACGCTCCTCGTATTTATCTAAGCAATCTATCAACGTGTTCCAGTTTCGTCTTGAAAATTTTTCTTTTCAAAAGCTCCCATAAGAAATAGTTAATATGTACTAAATTCAGAAATGGAAGGTCATGCAAAATGAGGAGGCACAGGACAGGCTATATTAATTTTCCTTCAATCAAAAACAATGCAATTTAAAAAACAGGATTTCCCGACTTTATTCCACGTTCAAATAGTTAAAGTGAAATTGTTCAGCATTGAGCTTGAAATTTGATCCATGGAAACAGTTGCGTAATAAGAGCAGCAATGCAAAGCAGCGAAATCTCATTTAAAGTCCAAATCAATTCTATGCTCGCCAAATATTGTTTCCAAATCAAAATGAGATAACTTTTGCTCCAACTTACAATTTCTACTCATGATACAATAAATTATTCCAATTCCGAGTTTTAAGTCCGGTGTATTCTCCGGAATTGGATCTAATCTAAATACTATACAATCAGTTATTTCAACTCGGAACGTTTCGCTGGCAACTCGTTTTATTTCTGCATCATCAGAGCCAAACGATTAACATAAAAATCAACAAGATTCGTGAAAAACAAGAACTCGATACATATTATTTACTTTCGGTACACGCTATCAAGGTTTTCGAGCTTGAAGTAAACACATTGAGAGTTGCATATACAAAAAGGCTACCAGGCTGATCAAAACAAAAATTTTATTATGTTAATAACTCCAATTACCGGGCAAAAGTGTTTACACGTAACAATGTTACGCCATAAATTTAAAATCATTCTAAAGCCTTAAATATCATATCATATGATATATAAGCTGTGCTATAAGTATATTTTTATCAACTTTTGGTCGCGGCAGACGAAAAATAGGAAAACTGCATTCTTACGTTTTTTTTAGATTTTAGTAATTTAAAAAATTGCTTTATCAAATAATTTGTAGTTTGTGCGTTTGATACACTGTTTTTTAAGAAGCACTAGCCTTATTTTGCAGTTTTTTTCAGTCAAGATTATTTATCACTCTCGAAATCAACAAACTTCTGTATAAATCTTGTGATTAACATTTAACATTTATTTACCAAGACCGTTGGATTTCCTTTGGATCGAGGTAGCTTCTAGTTCCTTCCGTAGTTTTGATGTGCTTAGTCTTACAAAAAAATACATTTTATTTAAGTGATTTAAGCATCATCTATTTTGAGTGTTGTGACGAATATTGTGAATAGTGTTTTCGCTTTTCTGGTCGATTCTGTTCACTAGTTTCATACTTTTGAATGACGTCTTTGCTTTGGTAAACGGTGATGCTTTAAATGAGATACAATTATTTTGTTGTATCTGTTTCTTCTTTATTGTTAGAACTTTTATACTAACTGATGTTGATTGATTGTTTAATATCAAGAATGTTTGTTGTATATACTTATATCAATTTTCTGCCTCACAACATTTAAGAAACTTGCTTTTGAACTTTTTAACTTTAAACTTACTTAACTAAAATCGGTTATGTTTGGTTGCATTAATTGTAATTTATCAACTATTTGGTATTGACCAACAAAAAGAATATCTGTTGTAATGCTGATACCTAAATCAGGTTACGACGGCCAGTTAAATTATGTTAGAGCTTTTGGGTATTTTTTTATCGTTAAACTCGGCAACTTCAAATAATTTTTTATGTATTTGTCAACTTTAGTGAAAGCGGTTTGCAATCTTTTTGCGATATGTTTTGCTTGATTCCATTAAGGAAGAAACTTATCCTTAGATCATGTTTTCTAGTTGCCTTTTTTGGCGAAAACAATAGTTTGGCCAGCTGCAACTTATGCGGCCGAGTTTAGCAACACAATAACATTTTCAGCAAATTCGAAATTCGATGTTTTCCTATATGCCCTTGTTGCTTAATTTGTTACTGGTTGCCCCCAAATATTTGTATTATTCATAAACGACAATCAAGCCTGATAATCCACTGTTTCTTCTCGATAATGTTCTACAGTTGTTTTACCGAACATCTAAACAGTTTAAAACAAATACACAATCTGATCGGGGGCTGCTATTGTCTTGCAAATAGCAGTTTAATAGTCACTTGACCCTTATTTTGAACTTTCCGAATTAATTTGCAAACCGTCATCTATGCACTTAGGTGTAAATTATCGTACTAACATAAGTATGGTATGGTGGAGTTTAATTTTATTCATGTTTAACTGCAAATCTACTGTTTTCAAATCAAATGAGCATATTTAAATAGATCTGTTTGGCGACTCGCCAGCAAAATATCGATATTCTAAACAAACAAACAAATAGCGGTAAGGGGTTTTTATCCAACTTGCGACTGCTTTATTTCGTGGAACTAATTTCTATATCCAAATCCAAAAAAATGGTTGTGTAATTTTTTTTCCACAAGATATGATTGGACGTGTTAAATTGCCAACTATTACCATATTAATGCGACAATTGATTTCGTCGGAGCAAGTGGGTAACAATCCATTTTTACTAATCTCACAGGTATATCCAATATGCTGTCGAATTGTTAATACTTCCCGTGACTGATAGCTAGACGTTCTCATGATGGGGTTGTTTGACGGTTTAGGGGTGGAAACGAGAATTGGACCCTTTGGAAATAGGGCTGAAGGCTGGGCGTTTCCTACAAGCCGTTGAGTAACAGAAATTGCTTTATGGATCGCTCCGTTTAGTCACTTAGTTTTGCGCTATTACGACATGTAATTAAAATCATACACTTATACGTTCATTTAAAATAAAAATTACATAAATAATAACAATGCCAATGCCTGTGGAATCTTTTTTTAAACCATAATAGGGTCGAAACTCGGGTAAACACCGCGCTAAATTGAAACACAAATTGCTCATTTTCAGGTACTTTATTGCATCTTTTAAAGTCATAAAAAATGCCGTCATGTACACGTTTTCTGCCTAACATATGCGTGCAATGCACTTACAAAATAGAAACGGTACTACCTCGCTTATTCACCTATATTTACACGGCTGAGGTAGCGATTTGAGCGGTAACATTTATATTTTGGTACATTAAGTAATTAATTTTAATATTTTACAATAGGGATAACAATATTTATAATATTAATACATTGTTGTAATGTACAGTTTTAGTAATGAAATATTTGAGGAGAAATGATAATTTTAAGTGAATAGTAATATAAATAGTAACAAAATAAAAACTATCGATTGCGAGAAGTTATTAAACTAAAATTGGACTACGAGTAATAGGATCGAAAATAGAAAACGTAACGTTTTTATAAATAATAATCTAACATGCAAAAAGTGGATTACTTGGATAACTCAAATTTAAACCTTACACGAACAGTGAAAATGTGTTTAAATCAAACTTCTAAAAACTAATTAGAAACGTAAGAAAATTTTGTAACCAAACCATAACAATGGGTTTAGCTAACTCTGCCTTAGCCTTGTAATTAATTTAACATCAAAAACCAAAGATAATAAAGTTAAACATTTAAATCAAACCAGTTAATTGGATCACGATAAATAGCATGGGATATTCCTTTAAAAATGTGCGTAGCTTTATGGCGATTACTTCATTATAAGATACTTACAGTCCTGCACAGTGATTCAATTTGGGTCATTACGTATTCTATATGACGACAATTAGGTATGTGCCATCAATTGTTGAATGTTACGGTCAACATATTTGAACTGAATTTTAATATTTGTTTTACAATGGATCTGGGTTGTGGAAATTGATATAGTGACACAAACATTGCATGAAATGATAAGATATCAGCAGTTGTATTCAAAGGTGGTAGTTGTTTGGAGCAACAGGAATTTTTATTGTAATCAAAAAACCCATCTACTAGAACTGGAAAATGTAGAACTTACTTCATCACTGAAGAATTTACGTCATCATCGCCACAAATACACGCAAAAAAAATTCACTCAATAACATGTTAACTAAAGAACTTCGTCTTCCAAGTGAAGTCACGTATAAAACCTACTTAACAAATCAATAATCTACGCATTATCCAAAATATTCGTGCCTTACGACAGTAATTGAAAGTACATATTTTATTTGCTAACGGAAACTTACTATTTAACTTAGATTCCTTAATAGTGTTTGCATTCATTAATTATATCACAGCCATAGTGCTCTCCGTTATCTTGAATTGAGATAACAAATTATCGGTGCAACTAATAACTTACGCTAGAACGAGTTTGGGCATGGTATTAAATCTGCATACAACATCGTCATGCCAGAAAATTGACTGCATTTACCATATAAACAGGTTTGCCAGTAAATTAGCGAGAAGCTAAAATTGCAAATACATCCATTTCATTTGCGAGATGATTGTTTAAGAACATATGGCATTAACAATATTGGTTGCTTCTAGTGTAAGTTACGAGTCTTCGACAGATAAGTGTCGATTCTAGAGAGCTTTAAGCACAATATGGTACTAAAAAGAATTAAACTAAGTCCATTCCAGCTGAACAAACACTATTGTATGGTAATCAAGACGTGCCGCATGTGCTGACAAAACACGAAACATTTTTATATAAAAAACGCTATTTTAAAGTTGATTCTCTCAAACAGAACAAAATTTTTGAAAACAATCTTAGTGCTTTTAAATAACTGAAAGTAATCGTTTCTCGTAAATTCGGTCAATGGTGGGTTTTGTCAGCATTGCGGCATTTTAGACAAACAAGACCGTATCAAATCCAATATAAATCCTGAATTATCCATTTTCTATAAGCTAGAGGACACGCCAGAGATATTACGTTTGATTTACAGGAATTGTATAATTCAAAATTTTAACCGATTAATGTACTCATATAAATTCACGCATATATCACATTAACAATTGAAAGCCCTTATGGCTGGTGTGTGTTCAGTGGGTTAGCAAGGGTGGATTTGGTCGTCGTGTGGCAGGATTTTTGGCTCGATTCCAAAGCGTATCAATTTTATTTGAATGTTGATCCACTAGGAGTGTTGTCAACTTGTTGAAATTGCAAAAACAATTCCTTGCCGTCCACAAACCCACTTAAACACTCAGCAACGTTAAAAACTCCCAAAATTCGCTACGTTTCCAATGAAGCAATCAAATTATGATAAACATTCGTTTGCATTTCACCAAACATGGAGGCCTGTCCGCAACTAAAAGAACTGGAGTCACTGTCCACACCACAAGTGCCACTAAAGCGACTAGGTGGCATATTGTTATTTATAAAACTGGTGACACTTTTCGTGTAGTCTGTGTAAGTCGATTGGGATATTAAAGAGTCAGGGGTGTGCAAAGGGAACTGTTGATCTTCCTCAAGTTTCAGTCTTTTGGCTAGAGGATCGTCGCCCACTTGGTCAACGTCCTCAATAGGAGCAAGCATTCTGGTAGATGGAGGCATGAAGAATTGAGAAAGAACATCTTGCATATCGCACTCATCCACCAGGTCTTCAAATGGTCTTTTCTTCGATTCGCTGGAATCGTCCTTCACTACTACACTTGGGGATGCAAAATCACTCGTCACAATGTCACTTAGAGCACTAATTCCTGTTGAGCTCACATTGTTGATCTCCTCCTCAAGCCTTGCATGGAAATCATTTTCGATTACTAGGTCTTCAATTTTGTCGTTGCTAGCAAACGTGCTGCTAATATCTTCCACTTCCATTGCCTTTTCGTTCTTCAAAAATTCCGATTTAATGTTCAAGTAGCTATCGTTGCTGTAGCACCGCGGGTAGCTGAGTTGCTGCTTTTGCAGCTTTTCGTCTCTGGTCTCCTGTTGCAATCGCTTCATGGTATTATTAATCAAAACCGATCTGCGTAGATTCGTATCTGGATCATCGATTTTCTTCAATTTATTCAGACTGATCTTAAGAACTTTTCTACGCTCCTCCTTCTGCTTGTATTTGGCGGAAATCATGCTGGGGCGATTTCGGGGAGGATAAGCAGTGGGGTAGAGACGAGGGGGTCCGAAGATGTCGTCGCAGTCGTCCATGGGGACAATTGGAGGTGTTCTCATAATTTCACAAGTTGAATTCTGAAACAATAGAAAGGCAAAGTTAATTTATTGCAATAGAGGGTTTTTCGCGTTTAATCATACTTTTGAATATTGCATTATATTCAATTAACTGCAGAATTTGTAATTGCAGATAAACCGGATATACGTGTTTTCCGAATGCAGCGCCAATGTTTGTATTGGAAAATTCTAGTTAATCAACCCCAAATATGAAAATAATTTTCAATTACATCACTATCGGTTAAATTGTTATTAATCTAAATCTGTTGGCGATATCACGCTATTACCATGCCTAGTTGGTGCTGTTATCAGTCAATATAATATATTTAGACACACAGGATCCTATACGATTTATATACATATAACATATACGTATAATCGTTTGCGTCCGCAATTCCGGTACCTAAACGTAATTATTATTGATTGCCAACAGATTCTCATAGATAAAATCGGATTTTTCCTTTTGTTTTTATAACTGCTACTAAGCAGTTTGATGTGGTTTAAGAAGATTAAATTTGGGTGGTTTAATAACATGCTTAAGTAGTCAAGTGCGCTCACATAAACGACTATTGCAAAACCGGATTAAAAGAGAATAAGAAACAGTGTTATTGACTTTGCTGCATAAAATCGACAATTATTTTTTTCGATTAAATGCCATTAAATGATCAAATTCAACTTCTCAGTCAAACAATGTAATGCGTATTAACTTTTGCATTGAGATAAACAAAAAACTTTACTGACGTAATTGAGTGTTTATACCATGACGAGAGTAAGCTTTTGCTCGCGACATTTCAAAGTAGACTAAATGCCTATACTAATAGCCTATTATTGTTATAACTGTTGTTGCTATTAAGCTGGAACTGTGCTATCGTTCCCACTTTTTAAGCGATTGAATGGAATGGTGTGCGAAATGTGTGATTTCTTCACCATGTGACTGTAAATTTTGGTTTCGGTGGTACTCTTGTTTGGAATTTTATTATATGTTTCTTAACTCGTTAACAAAGAAGTTGTTGCCATCGAAAAGACCTGAGGAATATGTATATTTGAATCGTTAATCCACTTGCTCAGGTTGGAAAAAAATTTAATATAAAGCTGAAAGATAATGAAAGTATGTCTGATGCTTCCACATAATATGAATATCGCCATATTTGAAAAGGTTGAAGGAATGTAATAAAGCACTTTTGTCGGAATATCTGAAAAGTAGAAAGCTCAGGTTGCTGTTCTATAGCGGCTTAACATGAGAAATAAACTTCAATTATTAAATGTTTTATGGCTATTTAATGCACAATATTGGCTAAACAAACATTTAAAATTGCCATTCGAAGGTGCTGTATCTGAAAATATGTTTTGAACAATTTCATGAAATGAGCTAGAAAATACAACGGTTAGTAATTTATTTTCAACAACCATAGCGTGAAATTAACGAAAATTCTTGTTAAATGGTCAATATGATTAGACTGTCGTTTGCCAATGATGGTACATTTTTTGGTAATTACCAACCGGAAGTAAAAGCAAGCTTTTCCATTGAGAATATCGTTCTCAACGTCCTATAGAGGATGGAACATTATCCGAAGCCTTAGCTGATCTAAATTCTTCAATTATTAGTGCTATTGAAAGTTCCTGTTCCGAAAACAGAAAAATATTCACACATTTTCTGACCGTTGGGCTTTTCAACCAGACATTTCGAACCAAATGCGTGAATCAGACTTTCAGGTAGTTAATGGTCAGTACGAACAAATGTCTTCAACTTCGGGTTCCCTTCAATCCCTTCTATGCGGTACGAAAAGCTATCCGTCTATTGTGGAATTGAATTGTTGCCGAATAAAGATTAAAATGAACAAAGAGGACATTTCAAGGCCGAAGAAATCTAAAATTAGTTAAACATAATCTGATAACTAATACCCAGCCCGCCCTATAGATTTAGGTCAGAAAGTCATTGTTTATCTAGTGAATAATGAACATTATTCTTGATAAAACTAAGTAATTCAGCTCATTTTACAAATTTGTCTTCTGTCAAGTCTTTTTTGGCAATTTCTATGATTTCCTTGAAAATCCCTCATTGTCATATAATATATGAAGCGCTGGACTCCATTCGGGGTTTATTTTTATTGAGGTCGGGCAGTATCTCATGCATATTTTCCGCATAATTTTGGAGACTTACTAATCCCGTTTACTTATTTATTTTTCGAATCAAATTTGAGTGGGAAGCAAGGACAAGAGTATTTTGATTTCGGGTCAGTTGTTTGGAATCTGCCAGGTGACAAAAGCGATTTTTCATTAAGAGGAAAAAATGCTGACGTCGTCTTTAAGACCGCAACGAATCGGTGGAATTGAAAGTAACAATTTGTTTCGATTTTCACACCATTTAAATTACAATTTCCTTGTAGCGTGTTACGTAATTCTTACGTGAAATTATTAATCGATCTGTTATCGGATACTGTGCGTTTTCGATAGAATCTACAAATTTACATAATATAGTCAACCCTAACTAGCTGAATTCATGCCAAACTCCTCAATGTATCTGTAGATATTAACACTTAAATTGGCAAAAAAAAACGGTTTTATATCCGACTGACCAAGTCGGAGAAAGTTAACTTATTGCTTGCTTTTAAGGTTTGAAGAATAGCACCTACCTATCTATGAAAATTATAGCCTTTGTGTACGTTTCAAAAACTTATTTAGGACGGTACCTACTCAATTTTAATTGTTTTGCCACTCATTTAATTGGTCCCTTCATTTTCGGGTAAAATAAGTTCATTGAAAACCGAAATGACGATGAAGAACATGAAAACCGTTACCGTTAAGCGCTTTCTTGTTGGAGCATGTCAAACATTTTTCTACATAATCCGGCTAGAATAGAGCGATGAATAATTGTGTACAACTTGTATTTTAAGCGTGTAGTTTCTCACATAAAAATCGGTAAACTAGCGGTAATCAATTTTTTTACAACTGATACTTTTTTAAGAATTGAACTGTTGATTTTGGTACAAGCTTAAAGGCCACATTTTCTTTAAAAAACAAATTTTCACCGGCAGCGACCACGTGACGATTGTAACATTTTTGAAGGTGTACTCTGGATTTTCTTGATTATCTAGCTAAGATGATGATGTTTGGTATAAGAAAGTAGATACCCAATTTGCATCTTCTATCTCGCCATGAAAACTAGAGCTTTGTAAGTCGAACGGTTACCTAAATGTTACGAGCAATCGAATAAGAGCGGGTCTGAATATTTGCGTTAGTTTTGAATTTCGAACTACATAATGAAATCTTGTCTAGGCCGAGAAACAAAAACCGCAAATTTAGAGATGATTTTATCTAAACCGTCTTGTGTGCAAATACTTTTTAGGAGAGAGAGGTGAAGCTCTATCGGCGTGTATAATAAGTCAGTTTTCTGTAATCTACCGAGTCTCCGAAATGCCCTAAAAGCAGACAAGTAATCGGCTTTTAATCGTGTTTTCTCTTAATTTACTTTTATTAAAAAACGGGAAACATTGCCTGTTGCTGTGTTAAGGGAGGATGCAAAAGACACGTTTTTTAAATCTTTGTGAATTACCTTCACGTGGTCACAAACCCCGCTAATTTAACTCAAAAATTCCCGAGTTTATCCCATGGAACGTTTTAGCGAAACTGTTAAATGTTGCAGCTGAATTGTCATACAGAATATAAATTGTTAGCTCAAAGCTCAAGCCGGTGCACGTTTGAACTCTCGTTCTTAAATTAGATAAAAATCCTGCCTTTGTTGTATGTAACATGACGCACTAGCTAAAGCACTAACCGTATTCAACACCTGCCTCGCTTTTTTTCTATCCTTTTTAATTACCTGTTTTCCATATAAAAACGTCGAAAAAAAAATTTAAACAAATAAGCGCATTAAGACAATGGAACATCTGTAATAATCAATTAACGCAATCGCACTTCCATGGGCCCGCATACGTAAGTATCGTTGCAAGATCATTAACTACCGCGATAATCGACAAAAAAAACAACACTAAAACCAACCTGGAGTATTGTTGAGGACAGTCACCTTTTTTAAAAAACACAGCAACCTTTCAAAAGTGAGCACTTAAAAAGTTCTTGCTTAACGATGGCACGTACTAACCCGACGAAAGTAAAACAAACACTGAAAATAATATTAATTTTGAAGTTAACTGACCTGACTGATAAATACTGATAAAGCACTTCGTCGCACTGGGTTTTCAGATATACTCGTTCTACTACTCTGTCGCTCACTGTAGCATTTACTAAAATGTTTGGCATAAGCTTTCGAGATAATGACGACCAGACAGTAGCGTCATTTCTTTCTACCTGAAACTGGGTTTTAAATCTTTTGGGTGTTTTCAAAAACCATTACTTTCAGTTAAAGAGCAATGAAAACGGCATATACTAATTTATTTAATTCAAACGGTTTACACACGCCGCACTCGTTCATTGAAACATATTCGCATTGTTACTTCCAATGGATTTCATTTTGCTTGTTCCTTCACAGCTATCCTTGAATGAGGCAATTAGGAAAACTAGTTGCGAGCAGCGTAAAATCGTTTGAAAACCGATTTGACTGGAAGTAGAGAAAGCTAAGCAAATTACCAGCTGCTGATAGGTACGCAATTTCCGAGGAAAGCACGTTATTTGCAGTTCAGACTTCATGAACCATTTTTCAGGTTGTTCTTTTCGTTATAAAGTCCTCTTGGGCTTCTTTCTATTGTTACACCCCGATTCCAGAACGACTCTACACATTGACCTTAACCTTTCCTCGAGAGCGCATTGAAACTAGATAAGCATCAAAACATATTACATAAATTAACATATTTTTACCGACGTATAAAATGTCCTGCGTAAACTTGGTGAATTATTTATCTGTTTGGGAACAGGTAATAACTTTAGCTGTCCGGAAGGGCGTCGTTAGCATGCTTTCAACTTTATGGGGGCTATTACGGTTGATCAATACAACAGAGAATGAGAGCTGAGGCCTAGTGGGAATACTCGCGAATGAGTACGAAACATTAAAAACATGCCCTTTGGCA